AGAAAGAGAGGGAGAAAAGGAGGAAGTAGGGGAGGGAGGAAAGGAGGAAGAGAGGGAGGAAAGGAGGAAGGAAGAAGGGAAGAGAGTTTCTGCTGAATCTAGTAGGCAAACGTCAGGGCCTGTGTAGTGGGAATTGTCCACGGTGCTGATAAGTTGAGGAAATCATTCCTTCTACAAGCTGCCTGGGGCTGAAAACCTGGTTTGCCCGCGCTCCTCCCGTGCCTTTAGGAACTTGCCCGGGTCTCCTCTTCCAACCCACTGCAGCAGCTATTGTTCTTGGGAAGCTCCGGCGCCGTCGGTGTGTCACGGCTCTCCACTCCCGAAGCTACACACAGCTACTGAGGATTTTTGTTTACTTGCTTTCTGTTAAGGCAAAGGTTGGCAAAGAGCGTGTGCTTGTCAGTTCCCTGGCCCTGCGATCCCTTTTGAACCGCAAGCTGTTCCTCGATCCCTGGGAAACAGGTGTGCGCCCTCTGCTCACACTCCTCACCCAAGAGCAGGTACGCCCGTGGACACACACTCACGGACAGTCTCACCCCACCCACTTATACACACACATACACATTCACATTTATAGACACACACCTTCACACAGTCATGTTTACATACACACTACCAACCACACACTCGTATGCACACACTATTTGCACACAATTCACATAATCTTGCACACTCAGGCGAACACGGATTCATACACATACATTCAAGTGCAATCACACAGTAACACTGTTTTGCACACACAGCGCATCGGACGCACGAGGCCTTGAGCAATTGCGTCGGTGACCCACACCTGCCAAGATGGTCCTACTGCATTGATTTTACATTGTTGGTTCTGCGTGTTGGTTGGTTTAAGTAAAGCCCCTCAATCCTGACGGGGAATCAAAGACAAGTCCTTCCAAGGTCTGTGGGAGCCAAGAAAGGAGCCACAGAGGCCCCGTCGGGACTGGGAGGGCATAAATAATAAATAAAAAGGCCCAGGCAGGCGGAGCTGGGGAAGCCCGGCACTAAATCACTCCCCAAATCACAGTCGCGTCCTGCTCCATCCAATAGCTCTAAGCGATTTGTAGGATTGGGGGTTGAAATCAATTTTTTCCGTTCTCGCAGGTGCAATATGAATCAATTATCTTAATTAAGATTATGCCGCAAGCCCAGGAGATTTGGGGAGGACGGGTTTTGCGCTCGGGGCGACTGCGAGGCATTTTAATAGCATATCTCTTGCGCTTGGCTCTCCCCGGTCGCCTGCCAGTCGAGCCTGAGCAGCTCCAGCCTCAGGCCAGGACCCGCGAGCCCAACTGCCTCCCCCGGGGCGGAGGCGCGGCGTCGGCGGTCTAGTCCGAACCCGCGTCAACCGCCCACCCCCCACCCCCTACCCCCCACCCCTCGAAGCTCTCTGGAACCTCTGAGCTACCGGGCGTCTGTAGGACCTGCAGCTCTCAGCCGTCTATCCTGCGGCCTCTGCGCGCCAAGGTCTCGCGGGCCCCTCGGTTACCCTGCCCCCCACCCCCATCTCCCGCCCCTGGAACGCGCACAGGCGCGGACACCCCCCTCCTAGGTAGGGCGGGGAGAGGACGCGGGAACCTCTCGGGGTCGGCGGGGCTGCCCAGGCTACACTTGATCCTTTCATTGAACGCAAACCTCCCTTTGCAAGACCGAGCATCTGTTTCCCTGAGAAACAGGTCACCGCGGCCGACGCCGGCCCTGCCCCTGCTCTTTATCTTGGCCCTGTGAATGCTTCGCCCCCACCTCCCACCTCCCGCTTTCGCCTCCAGCCACACGCTTCCCACCCCCTACGTCCGGGCCACTAGCTTCCATCCCTTCCCCACCCCCATCCTTCCACACGCCTCCCCCTTCCCCTCCGCCCGGCCCAGGCCACACTGCCCTCTCCCCACCCTCGGCCACACGCCTCCTCCCGCCCCCTTCCCGCGGGCGCTCCGGCTGCCGCTGTAACGGCCGGGACGCCCGGCCCGCGCCGCGCGCTCAGAGTGGGGACCCGGGAGGCGGCAGATTTGGGGCATTGCTCGAGGGCAGTGAGTCATGAAAGCGGCTTTTGTTGCCCGCGCGTGCGGTTCGCGTGCCGCTGGGTAGCCTGCAGCGCCCAGTGGGGACTGGAGCTGGGGGAGTACAGCTAACGGGCAGCGAAGGGAGAGAGAAAAAACTTAGAGAATCAGGAGGGGGGAAAGGGTGCAACCGTCCAAACGTGTCCAAAGAGAAGAAAATAAGGAGGCGGGGCGAGGCCGCGGAGAAGGTTCTCAGCGCTAAGCTCCGCCGCCCCTTCAGCTCCGTCCTCTCTCAGCGTCCGGCTGACTCTCTTCTCTCGCCCCAATTTCTCGCGCCTTCAACCCCAAGCAAAAAGTACCTCAATCCAGGCCTTGTCTGGGCTCCTCCCTTTAGGGTCTAACTACCCCTCCATTTCCCAGGAGCCCCGCAGGCACTGGCTGAGCGTCGCGATGCCGGCGCCCCGGGTCGAAATTCTCCGCGCGGAGGAGGGTCAAGTCCTATCGCTGCAGGCTGGGAAGCCCAGTAACAGCCACCGTGAGACCCAACCTCAACCCGGTCTCAGAAACATCCTGGAGTGGCCTTTCCTTTGTACAAATCCCCAGACCTGAGCGAATAACGCTCAGTGGGATTAGAGATGAATTTATCGAGGGGAGAGGGAGGAAACAGACTGGTAATTCCCGCACTTTATGTATTTGAGTCTCCGTCTGGCAAAACACTCGGGCGTCCCTCTGGCCCAGGAACATCTGACTCCGCCATAATTCTCCTGTATTGTACGGAATGTCGCAAACTGGAGACGTTTCTGCTTTCTGAGGGTGACGGACAAGGATTTAGCAGAGGGACCTCTAGGCCACCCCTGACCTCGGGGTTAGCTGGAGTCCGTTCTCCCCCTCTGTCCCCAGATATCCTCTGGAGCTTCCCAAGGTTAGAAAAACGAGAGCCTAGGCACAAGTTCCTTTTGCCTGCAGCACCGTACGCTGCCAGTCCGGACAGCTGCCGGGCGAGGCGCAGCACTTAGCTTGGCCCTGCCTCAAATGTCCTCGGATCTCGGGCTGTAAACCAGCTTCTAAGGGCTAGTACTCCGATGTCTCTCGATTTTTAGCCCAGCTCTGAAGATACAGAGAGTACAGGGGTAAATCCTGGGACCAGGCTCCTGGGTGAATTATTTTATCCTCTCCTATGGTCTTTGTCAGCCACGTGAAGGTAGGAAAGCAAGCAAAACTCTGGAACCTCACAAAGATTCATGCCACGCTTCGGTGGCACAACTCCTTTCTTCCGTTTTTAGATTCATACTGTGCAAGGAAGGCTGCACCTGCCACCTTCAGACACTGGCGATCTGGCTAGGACCCACTGCCTCCACCTCCACTCTCTCCTCCGTCCCCACCCTTTCCCAGATGCACCCCACTCCAGCCACTCGACGCTGACACTGTTTGCAAACTCGAGGGATGTTTAGGGCAATTTCCTTTAAATAAGTAATTCACTTAAGAGGTATTTATTGCAGAGGGCTTCAGGTCTGGGAGGGGGTAAGGAGTCAGTTAATGAAGGATTAGAGGCAAAGCTGGGAAAGAATGAGCAGACAGGCCAGTTTCTTTCTTTTTAAAATGTATTATTCCGGAAGATCCTTGTTCGAAGAGAGTGAAGAATGACTAGGCAACAATATCTAACGGCTCCTTCAGAACTGATCGAGAATTTCTGTGGTCTTTGCTTGACCTGCAAGGTGGGAGCTTCAAATCAGAGGCTTTGAACCCTGGAAGAGTTTGCAGCCATTAATCTTTCCCGGGGTTGTGCTAAAGGCATTTCTAGAAAGAGTTCGGAAAGACCGGTTCAACACACACCCATTCCATCTTCTCTTTGAAAAGGTTTGTCTGAATCAAGTGTGTTACACAGACTCGAGATTGAAAAGAGCAAGAGCGCAGGTCCAGCTGTGGTGAGGTGTCCACCACCGTACTCGTGGTCAATGCCTGGACTAGAGAGGCGAGGCCATGCAAAGAGGGCTGGCCAGGGAACCAGAAGGGTCCCTGGACTAGCTGAGTGAGGATGCTCTTTGCAGCAACCCAGTGGCCATAGTTAGAGGGCAGAATCTAAGCGTCAAAGAAGCCCCCAGCTCCCATACAAGAGAGCGCAAAGGCCAATGGAACCAAGGCCTCTGGAGAACTAGCTCGCTTTGAGGACAAGATCGTGGGGATGGAGATGGGGACTGACATAGTGAGAGGGTCTCAAGGGACAGTGGTAGGTGAGGGTCAGGACACGAAGGATTGCATGTATGGTAGGGATAGAATGACGGGTACATATATTCTGTACGGAAGGAACTGGCAGCGGACGTCTGGTTAGGGAAGCTGGGGAACTAATCTCAACGCTGCGTTTACAGATGAAGCGGCTTTTATATGGCGTGTATGTTTGCTTAGAGGGGCCGACGGAGATTAGAAGCCACCCTTTGGCGCCAATGATCAAAGCGTCTGCTAAGGAGAAGCAAAGGGATGGGCCTTTCAGAGAGGGCAGGGAGTCATGCTGTTCTGAATGCCAGTGCCAGGGCAAGGAATCGAAAGGAGAGAGGACTCATCACTGCGTGCCTCAGTCTCCCCGCTTCTGGCTCTTTCACCTCTGTCCTACTTCCGGCGCGAAAGCAGGCCACTCGTTTTGACCTAGACCTAGTCAACATTAGCTTTTCCCTTCCTTCCTTCAAATCCCCTCCCCCCTCTATCCCCGGTCCCTTCTGCCGCCTGAAAGGGTTAATCTCTCCTGCGGGTAAAAACAGGTCCGCGGAGTCTCTAACTGGCGACAGATGGGCCACTTTCTTCTGGCCACAAAGGGGCCGGAATGGAGCGCTCCGCGGCATACAAATGGGCAGGTCACGTGGTTCTAGGCTCTTGGCTGGACTGGGAAGACCATATGGCGCATGCCGGGGAGGAAGGAGAAGGGGCGGGGGTTGGGGTGGAGGGTGAGGGGAGCGGTTGTCGGAGGAGGGCGGGAGGAGAGCAAGGCGTGGGGAGAAGCAGGGAGGAGGGGAGAACCAGGAGCGCACAGCCTGGACGCGTGCGCAGGCGCCAGGCGCAGAGACCTGCTAGCCGCTCAGCTCGCAGCCCCGCCCGCGCTTAGCATCACTAACTGGGCTATATAACCTGAGCGCCCGCGCGGCCGGGACACGAGGAATTCGCCCACGCAGAAGGCACGGCGTCCGGAGGCCCCAGGGTTATGAGACTACCACCACTCAGGACCTACTAACAACAAAGGTAATTAAAATTCTTTCATTTTTTGCTCTAGAATAGAAGCAGTAACTGAAGACTGATGCACCTACATATTCTGTATGTGTGCGTTTCCAAGCGTGTGTATATGTGTTGAGACCAGCATCTCTCTCCATAATTGCCCATAACTACTCACACAAATGAGTAATGTCACTCAAGTACCCCCTGCAGGCTTTCTAATTTAAAATTTAAAAATTTGGGTTTCTTTTGTGAATAGCATAGAAGCTTCTTGGATGTTTTTAATAAAAGAATACACGGTAACCATGATTAGCTGCTAGTGCTGATTTTAAAGTCTCAAAAGCAATAATGACTTCACTTTCTCACATCTTACAGTAAGAAAAAAGCTGTTATTCTATTTATCTCTATAGTGTGCATGTATTTTATGCACATTGGGAATGTCAATCTGTGTTTTCAGTGAATGAAAGGGACATGGATACCTTCAGTATTCACATAATGGAAAATAAATCAGATTCGGAGATAGTTTAGTTGAGAGTGGGGGAAAGTGGAGAAAGGGAGAGGGACTCACTTCTGCTACCTGTTACCGCTCCAGAGGCGGCCAAGTCCCCAGCAGCCACTACTGGAGCCAGAAATTCAGTTGTTTTACCAAAGGCTTTTTATTTTCCTTATTAGAAGCGGCAACTTCGCCGTTGCCAATCGTTGACCATTGTAATTACTAAATCTTTTAAAGGGAGGTTTGAGGCGAACTTTGAAAAGCCCCAATAAAGAACGGGCGGTCCTTTCAATGGGCTGTTTATTAGAGAGGAGCCTTCCGCACCTGATCCCCAGCGCGTGGGAGAGCGCTCTGCGCCGTGCCCCCAGCCCTGGCCCTGTACCGAGAGCTTTTGTACAAGGTGGAAATTTAGCGGCTAGCCAGAGATGGAAGGCAAGAAAAGAATGGCGAAGGTGGGGTGGAAGATCCTGTCTACTTTTGTTGCCAAATGTTACATCGATGGTGAAACAATTTTGTGGAAACTATTTTTCATCCTTTCTGCATTTGTTCTTCAGTACCCTTAAGTATAATCTTCTTAAAAATCACTGCCAGTGTTAGTAAATTACGCAGTGGCTCTTCAAGTTAAATCGTTAAGTACCTAGAAGCCAGGACAGAAAGGGAAGCAGAATGTGTGATTTTTTTCAACTCATTTTTTGGTGGAGTTGCGAGCAACTTTGAACACATTTGGATAAACATGAAGTCGCTGAAATATACAGTCATTTCCACACACATTATCCTGTTGGGAAACCACCATAAACACATTTAAGTTAATCACTAGGATACATACACATATGCGTGAGTGGTGTACACATATACATATTCACTGCCCTCCTCCCGTCCTGTCCTCACTCCTACGTACCAGCGGGGCACACGCATGAGCCATTATAAAACACTGCATTTAACTTTTTCTCAGAGGCATTCATTTTGTAATGAGCAGGTATTTTTCGCATGCATTTGTAGAGGTTTAGTGGGTGGAAGCTGAAGGCGTATCTGGCTTTTGAATATAGCGTTTTTCTCCTTTTCTTTCTGTTTGCCCCTCTCCTGTTGAATGTAGGAAACAGAAACATGACCAAATCGTACAGCGAGAGTGGGCTGATGGGTGAGCCTCAGCCCCAAGGTCCTCCAAGCTGGACAGACGAGTGTCTCAGTTCTCAAGACGAGGAGCACGAGGCAGACAAGAAGGAGGACGACCTTGAAGCCATGAACGCAGAGGAGGACTCACTGAGGAATGGGGGAGAGGAGGAGGACGAAGACGAGGACCTGGAAGAGGAGGAAGAAGAGGAAGAGGAGGATGACGATCAAAAGCCCAAGAGACGCGGTCCCAAAAAGAAGAAGATGACCAAGGCTCGCCTGGAGCGTTTTAAACTGAGACGCATGAAGGCTAACGCCCGGGAGCGGAACCGCATGCACGGGCTGAACGCGGCGCTAGACAACCTGCGAAAGGTGGTGCCCTGCTATTCTAAGACGCAGAAGCTTTCCAAAATTGAGACTCTGCGCTTGGCCAAGAACTACATCTGGGCTCTGTCAGAGATCCTGCGCTCAGGCAAAAGCCCAGACCTGGTCTCCTTCGTTCAGACGCTTTGCAAGGGCTTATCCCAACCCACCACCAACCTGGTTGCCGGCTGCCTGCAACTCAATCCTCGGACTTTTCTGCCTGAGCAGAACCAGGACATGCCCCCGCACCTGCCGACGGCCAGCGCTTCCTTCCCTGTACACCCCTACTCCTACCAGTCTCCTGGGCTGCCCAGTCCACCTTACGGTACCATGGACAGCTCCCATGTCTTCCACGTCAAGCCGCCGCCGCACGCCTACAGCGCAGCGCTGGAGCCCTTCTTTGAAAGCCCTCTGACTGATTGCACCAGCCCTTCCTTTGACGGACCTCTCAGCCCGCCGCTTAGCATCAATGGCAACTTCTCTTTCAAACACGAACCGTCCGCCGAATTTGAGAAAAATTATGCCTTTACCATGCACTATCCTGCAGCGACCCTGGCAGGGGCCCAAAGCCACGGATCAATCTTCTCGGGCACCGCTGCCCCTCGCTGCGAGATCCCCATAGACAATATTATGTCCTTCGATAGCCATTCACATCATGAGCGAGTCATGAGTGCCCAACTCAATGCCATCTTTCACGATTAGAGGCACGCCAGTGTCACCATTTCCGGGAAACGAAACCACTGTGCTTACAGTGATTGTCGTGTTTACAAAAGGCAGCCCTTTGGGTACTACTGCTGCAAAGTGCAAATACTCCAAGCTTCAAGTGATATATGTATTTATTGTCATTACTGCCTTTGGAAGAAACAGGGGATCAAAGTTCCTGTTCACCTTATGTATTATTTTCTATAGCTCTTCTATTATGAAAAAGTAATACAGTAAAGTTAAAAAAAAAATGCACCACGAATTTGGTGTAGCTGTATTCAGATCGTATTAATTATCTGATCGGGATAACAAAATCACAAGCAATAATTAGGATCTATGCAATTTTTAAACTAGTAATGGGCCAATTAAAATATATATAAATATATATTTTTCAACCAGCATTTTACTACTTGTTACCTTTCCCATGCTGAATTATTTTGTTGTGATTTTGTACAGAATTTTTAATGACTTTTTATAATGTGGATTTCCTATTTTAAAACCATGCAGCTTCATCAATTTTTATACATATCAGAAAAGTAGAATTATATCTAATTTATACAAAATAATTTAACTAATTTAACCAGCAGAAAAGTGCTTAGAAAGTTATTGTGTTGCCTTAGCACTTCTTTCCTCACTAATTGTAAAAACAAATTGCACAATTTGAGCAATTCATTTCACTTTAAAATCGTTCCCTCTCTCTAAAATAAAAACCAGAATCATAACTTTCAAGAGAATAAAAAATTAAGAGATTCATTCTCTATCAAAACATATCAATTCAATACATTACTTGCACAAGCTTGTATGTACATATTATAAATGCCAACATACCCTTCTTTAAATCAAAAGCTGCTTGACTATCACATACAATTTGCACTGTTACTTTTTAGTCTTTTACTCCTTTGCATTCCATGATTTTACAGAGAATCTGAAGCTATTGATGTTTCCAGAAACTACAAATGCATGATTTTATACATAGTCACAAAAATGGTGGTTTGTCATATATTCATGTAATAAATCTGAGCCTAAATCTAATCAGGTTGTTAATGTTGGGATTTATATCTATTGTAGTCAATTAGTACAGTAGCTTAAATACATTCAAACCATTTAATTCATAATTAGAACAATAGCTATTGCATGTAAAATGCAGTCCAGGATAAATGCTGTTTGAGATGTGATGCTGGTACCACTGGAATCGATCTGTACTGTAATTTTGTTTGTAATCCTGTATATTATGGTGTAATGCACAATTTAGAAAACATTCATCCAGTTGCAATAAAGTAGTATTGAAAGTGATAGTAATTGTTGTATTTCTTCTTAAAGGGATTTTGTTTTTATTTTGGGGGAAAATAGTTGCTTTTTTGCTGAATTAAAAAATACTAAACACTCTATGTAGAATAAAAGGAAAGAAAAAAGTTTACCTTGGCTTATGGTCTTATCTGTCTATCTTGCATAGGGAGTCAACCAGCTCTTTGTAGATAATGAAAAGACCTAGCTAATATTTCATTATTTGGAATGTGAGATTGGATGTGGTACAAACTGTGTTTTTTCCTTGTTTTAAGTGGCTTAGCCTTTAGGTTTTTTATTTATATTTTAAAAAAATTATTCTATTTCTTTTTTTTTAAAAAAAGGTCAATTTTGTTAATTATTGACAAATAAGACATAAACAAGTATCCTAGCTTAGTTTTTCTACACATTTAAGACATAAAAACATTACCATTTTCTTGGTGTTCTGTTATTTGTACATTTTTCTGAACAGGTTTATCTTGCAAACCAGTACAGTCCCTGAGAAATTTATATACCTTTAGAAAGTACCAAAGGGAAATGGGTTAATTAATTTAAAAAATCCAAGAGAAGTGACATTTTATAATTGTTCTACAAACATCTTTTGATGATTTCCATCATTTTCCCATGAAAAAGCATAATGGATTATTTGTGCTGAAGAGCATGCTATTTGTACTATATTTTAGGAAGGTGTGATTATCTGCCCCCCCCCCCCCCCCGCCATTCTTTGGGGCACTATTCTGTTGTTTCATGAACACAACTCACTGGAAAAACTTAGGATGATTCTGTCTATCATTAAGTCCACTTCAAAAAAAAAGAGTTTGGCATTTCTTTTCCTCTGGATGTATTGACTGACAGTCATGATTCCTAGGGAATATCATGTTGGCACTTGTGCCCTGGCTCTACTGTGGTGCTCTGATTACTGTCATTAGTAACTCCATTGTTTCTACTCTGATTCGGGTGCCACATTGGATGACTACCCCCCTTCCCAAGCTTGTTCCTTTAATCTCCTTCTCATTGGTGATTTAGGGGTTCCAGAAAGCTGACCTCATTTAGCAAGCTGCTCCAGAAAAATGTGAGTAATGTAATGGACAGGAACAATTAGCCATACTAATAACATTGCCAATGAGGCTGCGTCAAGCTGTGACAGTAGCAGTAAGAAATATTTCAATGTTAAAAAAATGTTTGAGAGCAATTTAAAATATATCACTTTAACATGTTTTCTATCAGCCTTCATCACATGACAGAAATACTTTTAAGTTAGTCCCAACTTTATCTAAAATGCAACAATCTCATTCCAAGTGAATCAGAGTTGTTATTTTGGAATCAAGCTGTTGCTTTCTATATCCTGGATTGTTCTCACTGTTCTTACTTTAAGAAACATAATACTGATATGATACATGAATACTATCAGCATAGGAGATCATGAAGTGAGCATTCAGACCTGATCTAATCTATTAAGTAGCTCAATTTCACCTGCAATTAAAATTAGACATCTTCATGCAAACTAAAATCTGTTGCTGTAGTGAGGAGAAGAAATAAAATAATGACATTTCAAGAATTTCAGCTTTCAAAATAGCAAACAGGGGAATCTAGACTGCATTCTTTTGTAAGGTAGAAATGAAGACTAAAAGTTAGGTTTGATTTTTTTTTTTTTTTTTTTCCATTTGCCAATACAACTTCATTCTAAAACATAGGGATTCTTTCAGTCAAGGAGTAACTCACATGCCACCATCTTTTATTCAAAGGCAGGCACAGATGTTCCTTCTGCAGGGGAGGATTTAATTTATGAAAATGATATTGTTTATGCATGAATGAACTGCATGCACTCTGCATAACACATAGCACTTCCATCTGATCAGAGAAATACCACAGAACCAGTGCCAATGTCAGAAACATATTCTACAAATTTACTCACTTAAATGTTTAATGAATATTTGGAAGGCATTTTCAAACCATAAGAAACATTTTAAATTATCTTATTCTTTTATGAATTGCTACCCATATTTAAAAGAGATTCTTACAGTTTTTGTAATTGGCTAATGCTTATACCCAGTTTGTAAGAAAAGAACATATTTTACTAAATGAAAACCAACCAAAAAAAAAAAAAATACTGGCAAGTTTGACTTCGCTGGAAAAAATATTTCTTTTAGTTTTGCTGTTTAATGCTTGTCATGAATAATATTTAGGATTCTATGTGTTTCTTCATCTTGAGCCACAACTATTCCTATCAAAAAGATGCTTAGGTATATTTGTTTAATGTGAAAATCCTATGAATAGTTATTTCTAGAAAAAGCTGGTATGCAAAATCAGGGTGAAATTTCATAGTTGAAGATGAAATTTGGCTAAATATAATAACTAGTGTATAATTACTATTGAATAGGATACTTTGTATAACATATTTTATTTTATACAACCAATTGCAGCTATATAGTATGATCTATTCACTTTCAATCCTTAAAACACTTATATACAAATTAAGATGAAAGATTATAATATCTTAAGAATGTTCTACTAATTTTAGGTTTATGATATATTACAGTAAAATAACATTTGAAATAAATTTTATGTTCTAATTTATTAATCGTTAAATCTCTATGTTTTTACATTTGAAAGTCCTTACACTCTTACAAAATTAATGCATTTTCTCAAAGAAACTAGCAATTACTAAAATGATATATGGATCATTAGCTAACAGTTTGAACCAAGCTGTTTTAGTTCTATAATTATATAAGAAATTTAAAGTGAAAATATCTATTAAGCAATTAATAAAACTAGATTTCAAAATATTAGCTGATTTTCTCCTAATGGGAAATGTAAAATAGCAAAACTGTTTCTTAAACTACACAAAAACCTCCTCATTTATCTTTTTCTCTCCCTCTAACACCACTTATTTCCTGAAAATTATCTAAATCAAAGCTTTAATTCCAGGGTCTGATAAAGAATAAAAGAGCCAATGCAACATCTTGTGGAACACCAGGACTGAAAACTCTTGTTGCTACCATTGCAAAGAGGCGTTCTGGCGTCAGATGCACAGTGATTTGTATGGTGGCATAATTATTGGCTCCTGGCCAGGCATTATGTTTCAGAGGACACTATTGTCAAGAACCATTCAACTAGAAATCTGCACTGTATGTGCTCAAAAGTTGAGATCATCTGCCTTCCTATGACAGGAAGAATTCTGTGCTGGCAATTGACTCATGGACTCTCTTCACACACACTAAAGCTTGGTCCAATGGCTCTGATGGAATTAACTGTGCAGCCAAACTAGTGGCATTGACGAGACAAGGCCACAGTCTCTGGGGACTTCTGGTTAAATTGCTAATTTTAAAATGCAGAGTATTATGTTAATGCTGGATTAAATCTTCAGATACATTAAATGTGGATTTGACCATCTAAGCATTATTGTGTTATTTGCCCAGCTAATTTAGAGGTAGATAGATAGTGATAATAACCATCTCTACAGAACCACAATTCTCAGACATGGATCCAATTTTGAAATGACAAGGAGAAATAAACAATAAGTTCAATTTAGCATATATAAAGTAACTTGGTAACTGACTTTTCTGTTAACAAGATCAAAAGCTAACCTGCTTTACACTTTCATGTCTAAGGATAGTCATTCAGAGAGGTGGCTTCACATATTAGGCCAGTGCTAAGTGCTTTTCATTCACTTACATATTGCATCATCAAAGCAGCCTCCTGCCTTATTTATAGATGGGGAAACTTCAGGAAGTTGAAATACCTAGATATTTGCATTCTGTCTTCCTTTCTTCATTCAGATTTTTTTTCAATGCTACTTTTTCAAAGAAGCTTTTCCTGATTCCCATTTAAAATAGCAACTGACTTCAACTCCACCAAAATCAGTATATTGCTCCTCTCTCTTTCCAGAGCATTTACCTGTCAAATGTTATCTTGTCTACTTATTTGTTTAGCTTATTTTT